AATTTGTATTTATTTTCAATAGAAATAAATTTATTGTTGTTATACATAATAAAAAATAGTAATATTATATTATATTTATTATATTATATTATGATATATTATATTATATTATATTTATAAATATTATATTTAATACAAAGATTGAAAATATTTTTAAATTGAAGTGTTTTAATTATCAGTGAAAACAGAAAGGTGTTTTATATAAAAAAAGCAATTGATAAAATTTGAAATAAAGATAAAACAAATATACTATCTCGTAAATATTAAAGTTATAATTTTTATCAGCATAAAATATTTAATCGATTGTAAAATCAGTGTGTGAAACACTATATTTACTCAACCATTGTGCATTAAGCTTTACCTATAACAGGACACCTTTAATTGTGCAACGACGCACGTTAACGCCCAGATTTACTTTTGCGTTTCTGTTATCATGTAACTGAGAACACGTTACTCTTCTGTAAACTTGAACGAAACTTTATAAGTACGCCGCACATTTTTACGTCGAGTCTTTCGTTTGAGCTTTTTCCTACGGCCACGTTATGAGATCGCGCGTGTTCCAACTTTATGTGACGTGCTATTTAATTTGCATTTTATGCAAAAATGTATTCAGTGAATCCAAAGTTTTCATATCAATTAACGAAGCTTTTGAACCGGATGCGAAAATGCCTAAGATAGAGGATACGCAAATCGAGAAATCAATCAAGATGGAAACGAGACTAAATGGAATTATTTTGAAGAATGATTCACCTGAGCCTGAAACTTCGCGAGAATTTCCGCTTTTGGAGGCGAAAACTTTGAATAATTTAGAAAATGTAATATGTTCTAAGAGAGAGTACGTTAATAATTTGAATAATATACAATATAGATTAAACAATAAATAAAAATGTTTTGCATTATAATAATAATAAATATATTTAGATAAAACTTTTTTTTTTAAGATAGTGTTTAGTCATTTGTACGTATATTTTATTGAGATTGAGATGCAATCTATATATAGAAATATAAAACAGTAGAATATTGTTTTAAAAAAAATCAGTTTTTGGAATAAAAATAATAAAAAAATATTTCATAGGTATTGCATACAAGAGCTGGAGACAACTGACAAAGATAATTTCTTTGAGGATATCACTCTTTCCTGGTCATTCTCTGGAAATTACAGCGAAGGAGGTAATAATCTGAATATAACGATATAACGTAAATGAATTTTTTTTCCAAGTTATCAATATTATTGACTATGTTTATCGCATACAAATACTGACGTAAAGAGGTTTCACAAATCTTTTGCTATTAGTTATTAGTTTCCAATTTTGTTTTGACGATAAATCATGACGTACAATTAAACATTTATCTATCTAAAATTTTATCGTACAGTGAAAACAATGGTAATCTTGTTATAAAGAATATGTTAAATAAAAATATTAATGGCAAAGTAGCCAATCCTTTTTAATAATACAAGCATATAATTATGTTTAAATAACAAATATATGATTTATGGAAATAAATGGTAAAAATATAATTTTTTATATTGTTTTAGGTAACCTATCATTAGAAAATAGCCCGAATATGAAGATATTAAAACATATACCAGCCAATAATAGAAGTTCAACACACACACATACAATCTTCGATAATTGCCAAGTAAGTAATTTTTAAAAATCATTAATCTAATCTGTCATGCATATCATTATGTGCTTATTATTTATAGATTTATCTCAATTTGGGCTGTAACATTGTAAATGTAGAAAAAAATTTGATTAATGAACACAACAAATTTTACTCAAAATCAGAATTTAATCATCAAAGCATTGAGACTTTCGAGAATTTCTTTTCGGGTATTATTTCAGAGTTTTCGGTAAGTAACAAAGATTTTAATATGTCCATAATGGAAAAGAATTGATCAAATATATATTTTCTTGTATATATATTATTATAGGAAAAATTAGTGCACAGAATTAATTTAAGCGGACACACTGAAACTAATTTCTACGTAGATGCCAATACAATTGGGATTATAATCAACATTTCGGGAAATCTTACACGTGCAGCTTTCACTATATCTTCAAGTAAGACATATTTTTTTATTTGTTTCTTAATATTAAAAAATGTGTTTTTATTGCAAAACAGAATCTTCTCATCTAAAATATTTTAGGAAATTTAACGATCAACTTTGTGTACGGTACATTCTAACTAATCTTTTTTCCGACAAACTTTGATATTTAGGATAGCAATAGAGTTATGATATTTAATGTTCTATAATGAGTAAGTGATATAATACATTAAATCAATAATGTCACATTCAAATTAAGCACTTCTCGGTATTTCTACAGCATCGGACAGTTACGACACAATTAAAAATAAATCATCTACATGACATTTTCTAGAAAGCGTAAACGTTAATTTTTTCTTGACATTTTTCTTTTTCACTGACCCCATGAGATTATTAAACGCATTCCGTCACTCCGTAGAATCACTCACTACCGTTACACTCGATTTTGCCTAGCCTTTCTGTATCAAGGACAGTATCGACCGGATGGCTGCTTCTTTGTACACTCGTTGCGTAGCATCAAATCGCACGAGAAAATTTGTCTTCGCATTTATATTTTAATTTCATCCAATATAGAAGTAAACTTCTTATAATTAACAGTTAAATTCAATTAAAGACAATGCAAGAATAAAATTTCCCTTAACGCTGACTCGCGATTTTTTCATATCACCACCAAGATTTTATCACTAAGAGTTTCTTACTGTCTGAATTAGCGAAGTGTTAAATCCGAGAACAGTTTTCACTTTTAATACGCACGTCAACAGACAGAACGATGCAAAGGCCAGGAATAACAATGTCGTTGGCACATACGTATGACAAGAAAGGGGTGGCTATCGGCGCGCGCAACCTTTCAGGCGGGTGGTGCATGAAACTAACGGGGGTTACAAATTCAACGTACAGTTTCGATGTGGTCGCTTACTTTGAAACAAACGAGACAAGCACGAAGAATGAAATTATCGACATTAAGTCCACGAATGGTAAGCAAAATTACAATGTTGATACTATAATCATACGACCTGTACATGAAATTATAAATTTAATGCATATGTATTTGTAAAATAATTATATTGATATAAGAAAAAGACAACATGCACAAGTTAATTTTTTCTGCTTGTAAATGTAACAAATAAACAACACAAATTGTGCGCAGATATTCTCATTAGAAATATTTTCAGGTACTGATTCATTCATTAGAGCACTTTTGGCATAAAATTATTAAGCGTTAAAATTTAAAGATTTTATTGACGATTGATTGATTACCTCGTAAAAATATAAAGATTGCCAATATTATATTATTATCACAAAATAAAATAAATTACATATTAATATCACACTGCGCGTTTACTAATAAATAAAGAATCGTACAGAACTACAAATTAAATACAAAATTTATTTCACAATTTTATCACAATTATTCATTATTATCGAAACATATCACAACGGTATTACTTGCGTTTTTACGCATAAAATTAAAATAAAGAAGCCACTCACTCGTTATTTTCGCCGCAATTTAATTATCAGCACGAATTGCATTCGTGTTCACGCGTACTCTTCCGCAACTTCCAACTTCCTCGTAATACAACAGCCGTCTAACAACTGCCAACTCGTCGGTTTCTGGCTCGCGGATACATAAGATTGTGCAATTTACTCACTGCTCTTTGGTCACGGCTACTGCTCTGCCTCTCTCTGTCTCTCTTTTCTCTCTCTTTCATTCTCGCTGAATTTATATTCTGACGCACGCCACTCCGCGTGGGAAATAACACGAGAAAGTAAAAAAAAGAATTGTTTTTAATTATTTTCTCATCTTAAAATTTAAGACGCAACTAATCAAACCAAAACTAATCTAACGAAACCGGTATTTTAATCGTAAAAAATCTACAATTAAATTTACAAACATTTTTTAGTTGATTTACATAGTTACTTTGCCATTAAATTTCTCAAGATTGTGCCAACGTTATTATTATCTGTCATTTTATTTTTAATCTACGAAATATATGCTTGTTCTTATTATCACTATTTATTAAAATTAATTGTGGTTGAGAAATGGTCATAATTTGTTCAATGTTTCTCTTATATTTTCCACGCAACATCTTACAGTTTTATTATTTATTATGGTTGCACTATTACATTTAAAAATATATTATTATAAATTTTTATCGTTTTCCAGAATATACAAATTTCAATGAAAAAGAAGAAGAAGACATCATACTAAATAAAGCAAACGAAGCAATAATTAACAAAACTAGACAATTCAGTAAATTAGAAAAAGTAAGTTAAAAAAAACTATAATAAAATGCGATTATATCTAATCCTTAAAGTATATTTTTATTTAATCATTGTATATAATTTGCAGGAGTCTCGTAAAAGCAATGTCAACACAAATGATTTTACACTTTTAATTAATCCTGAAATAAATAAAAAGTCAAAGTTTGTGTTCGAAAGATCAGCAGAGAGAGAAATGATAAATCCTCGTCTTCTACATGGCAAAATTAATAATGATGAAACAGTCGACTTTTCTGATATGTCACTCTCGTCTAAGTCAATGGAAAACATAACAAATTATTTTATTTTACATAACAGGTCTTTAACGAGCTATGGTGATTTCAAAATTTCACAGAATATATTGAGCAACAAGAAAACAGCCCTGGTAAGACACATAAACTTTTATAAATTGAGAATATTAATTATTTTCATTATTTTACTAAAAATTATCAAAAATAGCTAATAAACATCATAGAAAATAAATAAAATCTTTACTGTACAGGAGAAACAGCAAAAAATTCAAGCGCGATCATCGGAAGTCGCGTCATTAAACGAAGATATTGACACAAATATGAAACCATCCACTTTCTCTAGTGAAACTATATTAACGCAAATGAAGGATAACGAGAATCAAGAACTTTCAGCGCTAGAATTTGCTAATAACGAACAGTTTTCTGAAAGAAAAAAGATGCTATTGGAAATATCGGCAAACAGTAACTTGATTGTTGTCCCCCCTTCCCAGTCGCCAGGAATACGTCACAGAGTAACTTTCGATTTACTCAACAGTTGTATTCTTCCCGTCAAATATGCTATTCGAGCGAAAAGTTCACCACTTCGAATCTATGCTATTCAACCGATATTGTAAGTAAATCAATTAAATTTGCTATATTGAACATATTAAAAGAAGTTATAGCATTATGGACTACATACCAAGATATCGTATTTTTATAAATATTTATATTTTTCCCATTTTTCAATGAATTTTTTTGATGAATATTTCTTGAATTTTTATACAATGATTTAGCATGTGGCTGTATCCAGGACAAAAAGGTCATGTAGCTGTCGATATCCTCGTACCATTCGGAACTCAAGACTTAGTTAACACGCTATCACTATCTATCGATGGTACGGAAATATCGGAAAAAACAGCATACATTTATGTTCGAAACTCGTTTTCCAAGGTAAACATAAGCAAAAATATGATAAATTATACATAACGATTTACAAAAATCTCACTCTTTTTTCTCACGGATTTTTCGAGATAAACTTGGAAATTACAATTCGAGAAAAATAATATAAAATAATACAAAATACAAATTCATTACATAGCTGTAATATTCTAAACTGTATGTTTGTATAAGAGTGCATTTTATGCCTATTTACTGCTTAATAGATCTTGTATTATCTATTTCTGTTTGCATTTAGAGCATTGATGATGTAAAACCAACAATTGAATATTCATTTAATAGTAACTGCGCTGGTAAATTGGACAAAAGTCGCTGCGATAAGACTCTTTGGAGTGCTGATATCATCGTTGAAGATTACGATTCAGGTAATCGACAGATATAAATAGATATAATAACAAACTAAAAATTTCTAATCAAATAATTAAATTTTGTTTTGTTTTATACAGGTTTAAAACGTGTACTATCGAGTCCAAATGAAATATATCCACGCAGTACTTTTATAAGTGGCACTAAAGAACGCATATCATTTACATATTGGTCAACATGTTGCTCTCCCACCGCTAAAATTACAGCAATTGACGTTTTTGATAATCGATATTCTCGTACTATTGATGTAACAGGTAATATATTTTATTATTATTATTAAAGATGTAATATAGAAATGACTATTATTGAAAATTATTGCAAACAAGTTCAAATGTCATTGGTAATAATTGTTTTTTTGTAGCATGGGACAATCTATCACAAGGAGAGATAGCAGCAATCACGCTTGGTGCATTACTTCTTCTTATTCTTTTGATACTGCTCATTGTTGCTATTGTATATTGCGTTCGTAGAAGAAGTAGTCATGAATTACCAAGATATAGCTCCAGACAACCTATTCGATCTGAGAGAACAAGTTTCTAACAACACACTTGTCAAACATCAGCTATATACATCATTGAAAATAGCAGAATAAACTTCCAATAATATTCTACATATATGTCAAAATATGTCAGAAAGAGAGTACATATAGCAAAGCATTTAATAAATTTCTGTATAAAAGTTAGTTTAATATTAACTCTATATCAGTTGTGCTTGTATGTCGGATTAACACTGGCATTTATTTTACTACCACCATATAGAAAAGTTTAGAATTTATAAAATATATATTTCTCATTTTTATGTAAAACTCATGTAAATCTAACAAAGAATAAAAATAATTTTGAGAATGTAATTTTGTTAAAAATTACTTTGAAAAATCTAACAAGTGATTGTAATACGAAATTGAACTAAAACATGTCGATTTGACATGTTGCGACACACAAATAAAAACATACATGTCATTGTGACGAGCAAATTGTTAAACATTGTAAAATATTAAATATTATGCAAATGCAAGCATTAAATTTTATGTAAGTGCAAATATTACAAGTGCAACGTGTTAAAAAGAAATCATAACTTTTTCTAGGTCATGTGTTGATCAAATAATTTGATTCTATAAAGCATAAGCTAACAGAGCATTTTTTCCAATATACTTATTGGTAGATTTTTCTATGTATTTTGAGGCTCTTCTTACAAATTAATTCACTTCCATACAAATTAGATGATATAAACTGTTAAAATCTAGATATAGGTTAATTCCATAAAACATAGAATGAAATCATTCTATATAAGCCTTGCTTCCGACAGACCATTGACATTTGACTTTTCTATTGCATATGCTTTGTTCAACTATGCAAATCTATTTGCAATGATCTGGATAAATGAAAATTTGTCTTACACAACACATTCCATCACTCCTTTCTGTAGTACCGACTGCGCGAACGATGGTCAGAATAACAGATGTTTGCTCATGAATGCATTTTATCCAAATGCACAAGCACGATACCGACAAGATTAAACACAGAATGATAAACAGAGTAAAAAGGTTACTTTTACATGAATTTCAGTTTCGAATCGATCGTCGTATGGTTTTCTGTGTTATCAGGTCGGGCACAATGTAAAATTTGCAGGTTGCTGAGCCCCGCCCAAGGCTTGAAGAAACTCACCATCTCGAAGCACGGCTGGCGTTGCGGGTGTGACTGGCATCAACAATGCGTTTTCCGTATAATTATCGAAAGGAAATCCCGGACCAGCAGCAGTCAACAACGGGTTTTTCACTTTACGCGGTGTACTGCTCATGTTCACAATAATGTCGGAGTACACGCTGGCACTGACATTAAGAGAGAGGATGAACACGTGGTCTCAACTGTTTTTTCAAATCTTCTCAACGATATTTCACAGTATTCAATCTTTCACGATCTTATTGTCCACGTAAGCACATGTATTTATCACAGCAGTTTGATAGTGAGTACGTCATTTCACGTTGCGCTTGCTCGTACGTTTCTAGAACACACTCATTTCGGATGACTGTCGATTTAGGAAGTTTCGTGCTCCAATTTTATATTGGTATTACATCGGTATAGCAGTAATCTCGCTCTCTTCATAAATCTTGAAATATTGTAAAGATTTGTTGAATTTATTGAATTTTATAGAGTAGACAAATGATAAAAAATATTTAATTCTGCAATCTTATGTTGTAATATATCTTTAACCTTGCCTTATAATTTGATATGGCGTTAAAACAAACTAAAATTCCCTATATTAATCAATATATGTCGGTTACATTCACTGTAAAAACAAAAGAAAACATATATTCAAATTAATGTTACGCTTTACGTCAAGAAAAAAAATTTGAGTATTTTTTAAAAATAAAACTATTAGCAAAAAGTAAAAAATAAATAACAAGACAAAATTGGTGAGAGACAAATAAACAGTTAAATAATAAAAAATAAAAAATTTACGCAAAAATCGATGAAAATACATGTATATTATTAGATTTCTATAATTAACATTAAGTTTTCAAAAATTGTATTTTATTAAAAAATGAATTCCTATCTGTTTGCCAAGAACGTGCAATCGTGTTCTAGTGGATCCCTTTTGGATGCTTTTAATTCTAGACGCCTTATCACGTTTTCTTACAATATATTTTTCTTCATCTCTTTTTTCAGTTTACATGGCTTTAAATAAATATAAAAAATTTACAAAGCAAGAAACGTACAATAAACTTCTATTAATGTGTATCTAGAAAATAAAAATTCAGTATAGAAATGAGAAAAAAAGCGATCAGCCTAATCTATCAGCGTATACGATGGAAGAGCCTTGACTATGTGTATATTCAACACATTGTATTGTATTGTATTTCTGGCAGGCAATGAGATGGTATAATAATACGGAATTACTTTAGAAAATAATATTTAGTTGTAATATTTTATCGAATTATACATTATTAAAATTATTTAATAAATATCAATTCTTAATAATTATCAAGATAATTAAATATGACTGTAACGTCCTCCACTGAAAAAAATGTTTTGCTGATGTAGATAGATTTCTAGGTGTCACAACAAAAATGTATCGCTATTTTTTGTATCTGCTAAAATATTGTTTGTCACGTCTAAAATTTATAACAGCAACATTTTAGCAATATCTTCTAGAAAATTTAGGTCTTATTGCCAAATAATAATAATTACATTGAGTAAATGAGTTTTGATACGATAGCTAGAACGAGCTATATTTTTTATGAGAAATATAGCTGCCGATTATAACGGGCGCATTATACAAATTATGTTAGATGTGAGGATCATACTCTCATAGCAAAACAAATCACAGTAATATCATAATAATATTTCTTTGTGACGCTCAAATATATCATAATAAAATCGTGGTGACATACGAATGTCTGCTTTATCACAGATATAATGTCGCTATGACATCATTGTGATATGAAAAATAAAATAAAAATATAAAATAAGAAATAGATATTTATCTACTCAATTTCTGAACAATCAGTCTATCTAAATTCCCTGTTTGGATTCAGATATTAAACTGATAGAAAGTTATTACATCTTTAATATTATTAGCTGCCTTTTGCAAACGAACTAATGACTAAATACTGTTTTTGGAATGTTGTAATATTTCTGAGACATTTGATGTTGTAAGGTTGCGCCGAGATCGGCCGTCAGGCGGCGCCAGCTCGTGGCTGCCCAAATTGAGCTAACGACCAGCTGGGCGTTGATCGATACTGCGCGAGCGCGATCACGCGCAGTAATCGAAGGAAACCGAGAAGGTTCTCGAATATACGAGAATCTTCCAAAAAGTTGACTTTATGAGAGAGCAGTGATGCGATCTTTCCCACAGCGGTCCCGGCTCGGCTGTGCTCGGCTGCCTCACACAACCTTACAGAAGCGCTACGTCACGTATCCGTGTGCACACGGCGCTTCTGTAAGGTTGTGTGAGGCAGCCGAGCACAGCCGAGCCGGGACCGCTGTGGGAAAGATCGCATCACTGTGAGAGAGCGATCTTCGAGAATCACTCTCTATCGCCGTACCGTCAGATAAAGTCGCAAAACCGAATTAATAGAGAGGCAGTCGATGATTTTTGTCGAACATTTGAACATAGTCGAATTTATTGTATAAAGCATTATCAAGTTAAAATTATATTGTTAAGTTTAACTTTTGATTTAAATTCAGTGTTGAACTTTATTTTATGTTCCATCCTGTCGAACCTTTTAACGTTGCGGGACGAATTGATCGATCATTATTTATACACAATAATGAACAAGGTCGTGTCGTTTTTGAACGGTAGAATCCGTTCAAATTAATAAACCGTTAGCATATCGCTTTTAAGACTTTTTATTCATAAAAATACATCGCGTTGGAAACGAAATACAATTGCTGAGTCGACTCCAAAAAAATGATCTTGCAATAATAGCTAAAATTTTCTAGGTGTAAAAAATTAACTAAAACAGATAAATGATTAGCAACTGTTGTGATATTGCATATGTAATTACTTAATCAGTTTAGATGACAGAAACAGAATATATATCTGTATTGTTTGTGAACTTTAAAAAGAAAGTTTCTCTAAAGCGCCTATCTATATAAGATCAATCACGTGTTAGATCATGCAATGAATAACATTTAGCAATGGTACCTAAATTTTTTAGAAGCTATTGCTAGAACATTACTGCTATAAATTCTGTATGTGACAAATAATGTTTTCACAGATACGAAAAATAGCGATACATTCTTGTTGCGATATCTAGAAATCTAACTACATCAGCGAAATATTTTTTTGAGTGGAGATAACGAAAGATTACGTCGATTCTTTCAATGTCATATTATGATGATATCACCACGACTGTAACTAATGATATCACTGTGACTTTCTGATAATGTCACAATGACATCTCAATTTTTTTGTAACCTTGTGACTCTATTGTAAGTCTGTTGTAATGTCACTGTGGCTTTTTTTGCTATGGGGGTATATTTATTTGTCTCTCGCCGCTAGTCTTTTTGTGTACCACAGTCAAACTTTATAAAAACTATTGGCTTTAACATGAATAGGCGCCGCAGAAAAACTTTCTTTCTAAATTTCACAAATAGTTTAGATATAAATTCTGTCTCTGTCATTTAGATTGATTAAGTGCCAAACATATTCGATATCACAGTATTTGCTAATCATTTATCTATTTTAGCTAATTTTTCGCACTCAAAAATTTTTTGCTGTAATTGCAAGATCATTTTTTTCAGTGCCATATTTTTGCGAGTAATTTTTTGCTTTCAAATTTCGTTTAGACTTTCTATTTTATTATATATCGAGAATATCGCTTGCTGCGTAAAATGTACCTGACACATGTCGCCAGTAAGGCGCAACCCAAAACCCTTCGTGTCATATAAACCTTTTGTTGCTTCTCGGACTGAGCGGCTGTAAATTATTATATCTCAACGCTTTGAAACTTGAGCCCGATACCCGGATACGACCCGTCGCTTTATGTAAACCATGCTTCAAGTATTCGACACTCTCAATCGTAATCATAACCATCTGCGATTGCAACGGACAAACAGTTGTTTTCTAGAGTCCAGAGTAGTATAAATACGGGCCCTGCGAGACCAACGCGCAGTCAGTCAGAAAACTTTGGAGCTGCACGTCGACATCAGCTCCTTACACGGTCCCTTCTCTAAATTTTCGCGAGCTTTATACTTAGTAAAAATCTGCGAGTTCAATCTCTAGCATACAAGTCAATTCTTGTAAGAATCCTAGTTTATAAAGTGAAATTTCTGTAAGTTTTAGTGTATAAAGTGTAATTTCTCATTCGCAAGATTGCTGTATCTTTATTTCATAAATTTCGTTTTTTTCTAAATAGATTTGCTTAGTTAACTTAAAATTCTCTCTTAAATTTGAAGCCTTCAAATCTTATTTCTCATTAACTACGAATGTTCCTTCATTTTTTATTAATGGTTCAATGCCGAAAACGCGTCGTGTCGACAGAAAGAATCAGCTCCGTCGGTTGGTCGTCGAACTTGGTTGTGATGATCACGCATCAAGAAACGATTCTAGTGTGGTAAAAAGAAAAACAAATCGATAATAAAATAATCAGTGACAGTGATGCATTAGAAGAATCTTCCCTTCTACACGACGGCCAACTTGCCCCTTGGAAATTGATGCCGCTAACTGTCGAACCGTGGACTCCGCCCGCCGAACCCATCCCGTGTAGTGATCCCAGGTATCGTGCATGCAGATTAATTTCGGTGAGTCCATTCAGAGATTATTTTATGAAGGAGTACTTAAAAGCGAACGCGATCGTGAAATAATGTCAGAATCCGAAATAGTATTTCCGCGCCTTGAATCGAGTCTCAATTGTCTTTTTGTGCACTGTATTCTGGATAACGCTTGTTTGAATAAAACTACCAGTACGATGTTGTGTCTTAATTGTAGACTATAAGTGAATAAGGGCTCTAAGTGCCAAAAAATTGATTTTGAAATAAAAAGATATAAATGAATATACAGTTCATTTTTTGAATAATGCATTTGATATTTTAATCGTGATATTTAATCGTGTGTTCATACTTACTTGTAAAAAATACTTTTCATGAAAAAATAAAACAACAGTAAAAAATGCAGTTAAAAAAAATGTTAGAAATTCAAAATTTATGAAACGCTATAAGTGCCAAGGAGGATAATGTAAGAAAGGCTCTAAGTACCAAGCAGAATAACGTAAAGAAGGCTCTAAATGTCATAGATACACGGAAAAAATTTTATATAAAAAATTACTATGTACGTTAGTAGCCGCGGACCATGAAAGAATTATAAAAATTTTTATTATGTTTTTTACATGTGAAACATAGTAAAAATTTTCGGTTCGCGGCTTCATGGTCCGCGGTTAATGTCGTTCATAATAATTTTTCATATAAAATTTTCTCCGTGTAGTATATCTGCTATAATATAAATAAATGTAACTTTTTTTTATTTAACTTTTCTTTCATTGCACAATAGGCAAAAAA